GCTGCTTTCTCTGTTTGCAAACTGCAAATGCCGCAATCCTTGCTCTGTCGTGCCTTTTCAAAAGGTCTTTGGCTTTGAGAGTGGATTTATCCTTTTTCTATCTTTCGCTTAACTTTAAACGCTGCCTCTCTCTTAGCCAGACCTTTCCTCCGCAACTGTTGACTTTTAAAAACGCTTTTAAGGGCACTTTCTCGCTTGTCACAGTTCAGTTCGTTTCTCACAGTTCCCAGTCAAGGTCACAGTCACTCGCAATCTAGTTATTAAACAGCCGGCTCAAACAAAAGATGAAGCGCCCACACCGGAAGCTCCTCCTTTCTTGTTCGCTAATTTTTCAGTCCAGATCCGACATCTTGGGGGGTTTTTTGTTTACTTTTATTAAAGTTCGTACAACGTATTTTAAAAACGGGAATCTTCTAGCCTTTTCTCGTAATGCACCAAAAGGAACCACTTCTTTTCTCACACTCCATTCTCCCCCCCCTTTTTTCTTCGCTAGGGAACTCTGTTTGCGAGAGTGAAAGATTCTCCTCCTCCTCTCTTAAAACTTTTCGCTGGGGGTGGGAACGCGCTTAACTCTTTTTCTCCACGTCTGACAACTCACGGTTTTAGCCACTCTTTTTCTTTTTCATTGCTTGTTCGCTTCATCACTCGGTGACCACAGGCGACTCCGCTAAACCCCGTACGAGGTCGCTTGCGCGGCAAGGTCCATTGGGGTATGGCGGGCGCCTCAATTTCCGACCATTCGGCCGAGAAAGAGGCCCCCGCCTACACGCCCCGGGTCAGAGCCCCCCATCTGGGGCTCGTCTGGGTCTCCGCTCGCGCGGATTCCCCCCTTGGCCGCGAGCGGGCGAGACGCCCTCGGGAGCATCCCGAGGTTGCGTCCGCCATTCGCGAAAGCCAAACCAGAAGTCATATATAATTAGTTTCTGATACATATCTAGTCTTTTATTTACATCCTTGAAATAGTCCTGAAATATTTTGTTACCTTTGATTATAGTTTCATTATAGTAATTATAGCATATATTGATATTTTAAAATCATTTAAGAAATAATACAATATTATGGTAAGATAAAACATCCAGTATTTGGTATTTAACATCTGAAGATTGAAGAATTTTTAATTTCAAGCTTACTAGCTAATATAGTCCTCTAAATATTTGTTGATGTAGTTGCAGTTATTAAAGTCTTAAGATCGAGAGAGAGAAAATATCTACAAATATTACTAATATGTTTTATAATTGAATTATGTATCCTACATATTATATATCACTGATATATTTGACTGTCCTTGTTATTTTTAAATATTTAAAATATTCATTTTTTTCCTAAATCTTTACTCCCCTTTTCCTTTATTGCAAGGGTGTCAAACTTAAGACCTGGGGGCCAGAAACGGCCCACCCATGGCTTTAATCAGGCCCACGATTCTTTTCTCCCCCCCCGCCCTCACTCTTTGAAGCTTGAGGCTGCCAAAATTACCAGCTCCCTCTGCCTTGTCTTT